TAATTTCCGTTGACTTCGAAGAGTCTTCACGTTTTCGTTCCCTCAGGGGAGCTTGAATCGTGAAATGAATATACCTGAGTGAGAGGTAATCCTCGGGCGGCCTACGGTCCCCCTGTTTGACGCCAGAAATCTCCCGGGCGCTATTCCCGTGCTTCCCGCCGGGACAATGCCCAGGAGCCGGATTCGGTCGGTTACGATCGCGGGGAGTGGTCTGAGGATCAGATGATGATTTCCGTGATCATGCGATCGATGACATGTGAATCAATTCTTCGCCCCGTTCCGAGGAAGAATCACATCCGGGAACGCTTCGTAGACTCGGCGGAAGGTCGATGAAAGACCAGCCGTCCGGTAGCCATTCTCCCTTGATCTCGACAGTGGAGAATTGACGGAGAACGTGGAGCGCAAGCCGAGACCTTCGACGAACTTGAGCCGTAATTAGTCCTGCTGGCGCTAGCGGTAATTTCGGAGTCTAATTGCCAAATGAGTGATCTTCAATGAGCGCGCACATTGAGATGTTACCTCCCGATTATCGGTCCACACGAGCCAAGTACCCGGTCGCTTGAGCACCATTAAAGCAACTACTGTTAACCACACGAGCTCCGTATGTCAGTCGCCTAGCGGTCCCTTGCCGAGAATATCGAGTCGCCGCCACCCTTCGATGCCATAAGGTGGATAATGGCAGCGGAATATGAACGAAGGGACAAACCCCATGGTGTTTGAGATCATGAATAATTCCACAGAATCATTCAGAATCCGCTTTTGAAAAGACCCGCCGAGAATACGGAAGATTCCTCCGGAGGCAGGCTACGTCGAGCTCGCATATTCTCTTTTTCGATCCGACTGCCGTCAACGAACTATAGTGTCGGAGCTCAGACTCCGGGAAGTGAGCTCGAGGTGGCCTTCGGAGAGAGAGAGAGATCGCGCTTCCAGAACTGAACCTACCTCGTGATGGCGTCTCTCTGTGCTGGTATGGATTCTCTCTCTATGCGGACCGAGCGGAGGATTTCCCGCAATTTCCGACGAATACGAAGGTAGCAATCGGGCGCCTGGGTCTAGGTTCTGTTGCCTCAAAGTTCTCTAATGACCAAAAGAATGAGTCCGAAGCATGCTCACATTGAGACGTTACCTCCCGATTATCAGGCCGCGCGAACCTTCCTCCGGTCACCGAACAGCGATTATGGCGACTTTTAACCCCTCGCAGGGCCGAAAAAAAACTGTGGAGAACTCGCACACCGAGTCGCAGTGCTCCTCGTCGTCATCGACGGATTCTATTATAAGGTAGCCTCAAATCGACAGGTAATCGGGTCGGCACTATTCGGCACCTGGTTGAGAACGGGTCCGAGAACGATGCTTAAAGTGAAGCGATTTTGTCTCCGGAGTCTGGGTGTGTTCAACGACAGGTGGCCGACTGACTGACTGACTGGCTGCTGCTCAGAAGGGCCGAGTTCGGCCCGACCTCACCAAAAACAACGGCGATGACGATGATGACCACGACGGCACAAGCGAGCGACTACGTTCACGTAAGTGAAGGAGACGTTCGAACTACATACAAGACCGCCCAGACGAGGAAATTATTCGCGACAGAACAGGCGATCACTCCCGAAAACGCTACCGGTCGGCGCCGGAGGCTTCCTCTACGTTTTCAGAAGATCAGTCTTCGCCGATCGGAGCTCGGCTACCGGTAACTTCACGAGGATCATGGGAGAAGATGCGAAATAGACGGGATTATTGACGGGATCTGCGAGCAATATCGAATCAACGAAAGCGGGGTTAGGATTCCCGCTTCGGTGACAAGCGCGCATAGCTCGGGACAGAATTCCTCCACGAGTCGCTTGATCCTCGAGATAATTGCTCGTTGCGTAAGTTTGTTTTTCCGGTTTCTCGCCATCAATCATGAAAATGTGGGCGGATTGTAGAGCTGTGCTACTTTCTCTCGGCTTGTCTTCTGTAGGTGTTTCAACTCGTTGGTTTCAGGTCCTTCCGGTGCACGTGCTCTCGTAGCTACGAGCCACAGCCACGGTCCAAGCCTCGACCGAGAGATGCAGTCGGCCGTACTTCTAGATCCGGCCGCACCTGTAAGTCTTATCATCGTACGCTGATACGCCGCCATGAGTTAATTTTACGCATGTGTGAAACTACGGACAACTGAGAGACAAACTAAGTTTCCGAATCAAGGCAGGAAACTTCTAAACGCTTCAGGAAACGCCGGAGCTGGGCTTTTGGAGCGAAGGCGAGGTGAAAATGATTCTGGGCTTCGTCGGATAGCTCTGCTCCCTTCACAAATGTGAGGGATTTCGGACTCCAGGCCGACAAGAATTCCTCAGATGTGACGAAGGAGTTCCCCCTCCTTGACTAGAGACCTCCTCGACAGAGCCCTCCAATTCCAGACTTTCTTTGAATTTGAAACAAAAATTCGGATGTATCGAACAATTCAATCAATTTCATCAAAAGCTGTCCGCGGCGAACAAACTCGACTAGGATCGGGTCCGTGAACCAGAAAATCATGAACAAATATAAACACTATTCCGATCGGAAACAAAAAAACAAAATGTACGAGTCTCGACGCACGGCCAAATTCACCGGAGACAAATCCGTCGGATCTTCTGCATCTCGCGAATAGTGTCGGTCGGTGCGGGGAATCGCGGCGTCCTCAGCTGCTGCGGTTTTCGAATTTTGAAAGATCCCGTTTCAGGAGTGGAACAGTCGTTCCTGGAGTCCTTGGAGCTGCGATGCACTCTCTCGTAAGCGGCGTCTCTGCATAGTTTTTTCTTGGTGCGCTCCCAGAAGCGTCTATCCAAAAGCATGGGGATGTCTCCATTATATTCAGGTCTACGGGCCACTGTTCGGCGAGGAAAACATCGATCCGAAAGACGATGTGATTGAGAAGGTTCGGAAGGAATCAAGAACTCACCGGGTGTATTTGATGATGCTCCGGAAACTCTTTTTCAAACCGTGAGCCGTGAAGTCGTCGAGCTTTCCTTCACACGGAGTTTTCATTTTCGATTTCTTCGCTGGAATCGAACCCAGACCAAAATCACTTCGCCCCCAGCGGATGAGAACAGTGCCGATCCGGACGTTTCAGATGGCATCTCGCATGTACATAAATACCATCGCGTGCAAACGTGCGGAATCTATGCTGCCCGCTCTAAACAGATCAGAGCTTTCTGAATGCAATCCATCATCGTTGTATAAACTTGTGTAGCTCATGGGCGAATTGAATCCGAAGCTCCGATTATCTAGTTTTCTCCGAGATCACCTGCTCACTCAGTATGACTTCGTTTCGATTAGACGGTGAATCCACCGATAATAGACGCCGCTCATCATAGGTGGCTTGAGCTCTCGTACCTGCTGTTGCAGATTTGGGCTCCGCTGCGATCGGACTCCGTCTCAACGTTGTTGAGCCCCTTACGATTTCGATTCCTGCTCCGAGCGCTTGGGTGCCGGTCTCTGGTAGCTCTCCGTCTCTTAGTTTGCATCCGAATCAACCTTGTGGATCTTGCTTCCTTTCTTCAGTGGATCGGTCACTTCCGACTTGCAGCAAAAAACCTCGACCTTCTGGTATCTGAGTCTGACCCAGAGGTTCCGGGACTGAAGGCCAAGGACGGGCGCGAATGCACTCCTCCGTACAAAAAAGTCCTACTTCGAGGATATCCTCAAAGGGTTGAGGCTTGTGTTCGGAGCCAGAAGAATGCAGGAAGAAAAACTAGGAAGCTTTCAAGGTGAATCGTGGTCCTCAAACTCCGAAGCCAAGGTCTGGGTCGCTCCCCGACCGCACTTGCTGATGCTCCTGCGCGCAGACCGCGCGGTGTCGATCCGCGCCGCACCGGTGCCGGCGGCAGCTGTTGTTCCTTCGGAAGGACGAAATGCAGGGATGTGGGGGTACGTAAGAAGAACACGTCACTGCATGAACTTCAGGCACTTTCTGACCTCCTCCACATTCAGCAAGCTCCGAGAGATTCAACGAGGGAGGGGCGGGGGCTGTCACCCGCTCGAACATTTAATCTGAGTTCGGTTTTGCGCGATGGCCGCGGAATTTGACTGAGTCGCAGAAAATTCAGGTATCTCGCAGGAACTCCGAAATGCGGAGGAACGAGCTAGGATCCCGACATACCGGAGGTTGAGGATTCGGGGAGTGAATCAAGCGGTAGTGGTGGTGAGTGCTGTCTGGATCGAGATCGCGTCTCGGATGCTCCCAAAAAACTCAAGCAAACTCTAGACATCCAGGAGGAAACGACAGACGCAGCACGCAGCGGGTTGACCTTAAAGGGGTGACCTCGCCAACGCGACGACGGAGAGCGCCCAGGCTCATGGGCACGGCTCCGTCAATGAAACTACCTCCCTGTATTTCCTGATTCTACTCGTTTAGGGAGCCACCCGGTTTCCTGAAAAGAGGACCAAATATCCAATGAGAGACTTGAATTTCAGATCCGAATTCTCTCGAGACCTGGCTCATTGACAGCTAATCTGTTTTTTCTGTTTCCCGTAGCCAACCTGATCGGGAGAGCGCAATCCCGAAATTAGTCGAAGGCAACGCGACCTGACGACTTTCCTCTCGTCCGAGACGCTGAATTGACGTCCACGAAGTGTTATGAAAGGCTCGGCCGGCCGGTGCGTCGCCATGGACGAATTGAACCGATCCGATTCCAGAGTCGGCTTCTGATTTCAAATCTGCATCGAGCGGTCACTGTCTCTCCGTCGAGTCTCTGTTTCTACAGCGGAGACTCTTCGTCGATGGCCCTGTATTTGACTCCACAGTCCAGAGACGGCTTTTTCAGACTCAAGACTCAGACTCGGCGAGGGTCAGCGTGCTTTAAACTGGTTACAGAATTTGCAGTCGATAATCATAGCATCGATTTCCACGAAATGTGGCTCAGGTTCTGCCTCCATCCCGGATGTCCCTTTGCGACACGGTCAGTTTTGCCCCGCACCGCGCTGAGTTTGAGAGACCGAATGCATTCATTTCAGGTGTTCGTTTTTGACCGCGCTGCCGGCCCGCTAACAACAACCACCTACCCATACATCCGCTGAAGAATCGCCGCGCGCGCAGAGACAGAATAGTGCGACGCGAATTTCTCTCACAAACAAGTATCGAGCGGTGCGTTCGTGTTCTAGCAGGCCCCGAGAATTAGGTGAGACTTGGTAGCTCAATTTCAATCGTCAGCAGGTTAAATCTCCGACTAAGGAGTTGATTCAATCGAGATCTCGGGTTGGGGTCGACCAAGGAAGCCCCCACGGAATGCCTCGAACCTTCAGGAGAGACCGACGAAGTGGGCTTTGGGAGAGTTTTTATCAGCGTCATTCGATCGCCTATGAGATTTCAGTGAGGTTCTTCAACCCGAGATTGCTAACGTACCTTGTCATGGCTCCGAGTCCCATGTCAATTCATTTTCGGGCTCAATTCCCATGTCCGGTATTCCTCCGATATCCAGCCCTCAGAGCCGGATTGAACACGTCACGAATTCCCGTTTCTCCTCAGTGTTGACATGGCTGGGAAGAAGAGCCGAAAAGCTGCCGTTTCGGAATCGGACTCTGATTCGGGTCCGGATGACCGTAATCCACCCGCGAACGCAGCGAAAAAGCAGAAGACCGATGAGGAGGGCAAGCCTAAGAAAAACGAGGCAGGCGAATATGTTTTCGAGCTTTCTAAAATGCGGAACGTCAGCGTCAAGGAATTCAAAGGTCAGATCATGTGCAAATCGCTTCATCCCTTCCGAAGCGGGATTTTCCCTCAGAATCAGCTTCATTCCCTCCGACCCGTACTTTATATGCGCTCTATAAGATTTGATCTGTTTGCCGAAACGGACAGTTCGCGTCTCTATTCATCTCGATTCTATTTCCAGGTCGAGTTCTGGTCAACATTCGCGAATTCTACGAGGACAAAAACAGCGGCGAGTTACGCCCAGGCAAGAAAGGCATCGCTCTCAGTGCGGACCAGTGGAACCGGCTCAAGGAGCACATGAACGACATCGACGCAGCGATCAAAGAATGCGCTTGAAAGAGTGCATCGAAGGGCCCCAGGCTTCTAACTAATGAAAACGCCACCGAAAACGTTCGACGGAAGTTTCCGCCCGCGCGAACCTTGGATCTGAAATCGGTCTGCGATTGAGGCTCTAGCATACACTTCAATCCATTAATGTTAGCCGCATTTTAATAGCGATGAGGGAGATACTTTCCCGAGGTGATCGTCACCTCCGAATTCCCAGCTTTATCTTAAGATTTAGAATGAAAACATGGGTGAAGTTCCTTGTCAACACTTCATCGCAAGCTTGAGAATGATCTGAATTTGTTCTTACTGTATCGTGAGTATGAACTGTTCGCTATCCATAAGCTGCCTCCAGGACGAATTCGCCCAAACATTCCGTAGCGGTGTTCCCGGGATCCTGGGGAGTTTCTCTGTAGATAAGCATCAACGATGCTCCTCGGGAATCCGATCCAATTTTACGAAGCTTCCGGGGGACGCCTCGAGGGCTCGGCGTCACCACCGAATACATTTATGTACGTCGCTGGACTGCAGGTTCTCCAACTGTATTTTCAAAGGGCTCCTTTAAAACAGGAAGGTTCGTCCTCCTTGCGCGCCAGATCAGCGTGAATCAGAGATCATTCAGTGATTCCATATCCCCCCGATTGGTGTGCGTCGAGTCGAGGAATCGTCGAAACCGAGCAAGTTCCTCACACTCCGTAAAATACCCAACACATACATGATCCGCAGTGCTTTCAGATTTTCCGATGGATCCTTACAAGGAACGAATGATTCCGGGGTCATCCGGGCTTAGGTACCGAACTTGATTCATGTACAGCTGCTCACGACGATGAAGAGGACTGAATCCGAAACCCCAATCTACAGAAGTAGCTCTGGAACTCTCATTCCGAGATATACGGACGTGGGATATGAGGTTTGCAATCGACGAGAGCAAGCAAGGAGCCTCAGCAACCCTAAGATTACGTTGTTGGAGCGGACGCCAGAGTTTCCGAGATGGAATCCTCGCACCTTTACAATTCAGGCGCCCTGTCATGGAGTCTGACAGAGCGCCGTATTGATTCTCGATGAAGTATGTACTATTATTAATTATTATTCATCATTCTTATTCAATGAGACGTTTCAGGTTTTCGAGGTCACCGATTGAATCGGATTACTAGCTTGCCATCTTCCCCAACTCCAATGGGGATTCGTAGCCGGGGGTCCCCCCCCCTGGCCCCCACGCTATAGCCTTAGGGCCATAATTGGTCAAGGGGCCATAATTAGTCTGGGGGCCATAATCGGTACGCTGCCCCTACCACCGTCCAATGAGGCTTCGCATGATGTCTCGAGCGCAGATTCCTAGTAGGGATGTGCTTCTCTGATTTATCAAACCGGAGACTTTCTTATTCTCCAGATATCGACGAGCTTGCATGAGCATGTGCCCGGCTCCTTCTTGAAAAATCTCTGAAGTCAGGGTCCCACGGCAAACTTCGAGTGGAATATCATCTACCGAAGTCCCCGCTGACGGAAGCGGCAGTCAAAGATCATGGAATCATTGTTTCGTCTGACTGACTGAGGAGCAGTCCCATATCATCCCTGGGAGAGGGGGAGCTGCTGTGTAGTGAGAGCTATTCAGTGCTGTGCCGTGAATCGAACACCGAAAAATTAGCTGAGACACCGTTTCGCGGAGACAATAACCCACAGGAGTAATGGTAGGTTCTCACGATTGCTTACCATTGCCGGAGAGCTTCATGCAGTACGCGGGGAACCAAAAGTGTTCGTGCACGGACGACTTCCCCACATGACAGATCTGAGTCAATCATGTGTGAAAACGCTATATTTGGTGAACAACTCAATCTACCGCATCACAGATATATCAGAAACCGTAGGCACGGCGGCTACCAAGGGATAACTTACTCCCTATCGAACGATGGTGGGGTCTTCCTCCCGGAGCACGAAGCATGAGTCGCTGTCACGCTCACCCCTTGACTCATTTCCGAAACTCTATTCCAGGCGGCCACGCTCAAACCTTATTTGAACGCTGTGCGGCAGACATTGAACGCAGCAATGTGTTTAGAGAACTTCAATTCTCAGGTGAGCCCGAAGTAGAAAGACCCGTCATATGGCGATCTCGAGTATTTGCGGTTGACCGGGAGACCTCCCGTTCGAGTCTTCTCGCAGAAATACGCGAGGTAAGATGAAGGACGATCCTAGCGAGCGCCCGGTTCTAAGCTTCCCCCCCCCCCCTCCGATATTGGCAGGTCATCGAGCGGCACAACAAACCTGAAGTGGAAATACGAGGGAACAAGGAACTTTTGTTGAGACCTGTGGTGATATCTCGAAACGAGAAGGAACGCGTTCTGGTCGAAGGAAGCGTCAACTCCATAAGGTTTGCGAACTTTCATCTCTGGGTCTCGAGACTCTCCTCTGGAGCTTTCTAGAAACATTGTGTGTTCTCGTCGGCCAGCCCACAGACTCAGAGATGCATTTCCAGAGTGTCCATCGCTGTGAAACAAGCCGATGAAATAGAGAAAATTTTGTGCCACAAATTCATGCGATTCATGATGATGAGAGCTGAGAATTTCATCATTTTGAGACGGAAACCGATCGAAGGATACGACATTTCATTCCTGATCACCAATTTTCACGCGGAAGCGATGTTCAAACACAAGGTGAGTTCGCAAGCTAAAAAAGTCATCCCCACGGACTCATACCTTGGAGTCCCAGAGTTTCGGGATTTCCCCTTTTGGAATCGCCCTACAGTTTCCAAAGTTTTCCAGCTCGTCGATTTCGTCATCTACTTCATGGAGGAAATCGACAAAGAAATTTCCGAGATGAAACTTGCTCTCAACGCGCGCGCTCGAATCTGCGCCGAAGAGTTCCTCAAAAAGGTGAGTCCTGCCGGAATCGCTTCGTTGGCGGCCCCGTGATCGGATAAATTCGGACAATACGATTGCAGATTCCTAGTTGCTGCGGAATCAAACTTCTGCTTTTTCTCCGCAGTTCTGAAAGGAGCTTCCTCCGCGGTCGGCTTTCGATTCTCTGGCTACAGGGAAGTTAGGGCTTTAGTTTTCGGCTGAACGCTGCCCTCTCACAAGAGCTTGGACGATCCCGAAGCCCGTAGCGTCATATTTCTGTCTACTTATGAGCGAGCAAGCGTACCCTACGAGGTTTGCCCCAATGGTTCTCGTTTGTTTGAGCAAGCAAATGGCGTGAATCCACAAGGGTCTCCCGAAAACAAAGACTTCGACGAATAGTGTTTATTATCAACAATGAACAGGCGAGATGATAACAGACAATAAATTAAGGACGATGTGTGTATATCCATCCATTGAAATTCTCTGAGCCGCAGGATGTATCTAGCGATTTGTATAATTATTCTAAATTCTAATCCGTGTGCTTCGTCATTGACCCTGTAGAGTCATTCGTCCATAGACCGACTTCGTAGGAGCAGCACTCCTTCTTGGAACATTCGTTCCCAGAACGGAGTCACCGACTTTCGCGCGGCATTCTCACAAAATATGAACCACACAAGGACGAAACGGGGATTTTCTGGACGCTTAATCTCAGATCATGTATATAGGCCTTCAAGTATACAAGTTTAGCGTGTAGTCTATTTGTGCCTCTTATCCGGGGAGAATTCCCTCAACTCTAATTTCTCATACCGACTCGTTGGCGTGTCAGACGTGTTTCATGGCCTCGATTATGTCGGTTAGCGCTTGCTTGGCCTTGTAGCACGAATCGAACGTGTCGAGGTTGGCGAGGCACTCATGCACGTAAGAGTTCAGTCGCAGGTTCGCCTCCTCAACGCAACCTGACGCCAGAATCTGCGTGTAGAGGTCAGAGTAATCGATATGGTTGATGTTTTCCAGCGAGGTTTCCAGCGACTGGACAAGGTGGGGATTCCGTTCCAGGAAGAGAACGCAGGGCAATGAAGTCAGATCGAACGGCGCGCCTGAATACGAGATCGTCAAATGCGTTGAGAAGTGATACTGTACAAAATCGGAGTGCCGCCCTCGCGTCAGTTCAACTCGCGAGAGAGAACCTCAACAATGCACCATCAGCAGACTAACCTGGAGCTTGATAGATTAAATTAGAGAACGGTTGGAGTTCCTCGTGTAGCTGCCAAACCAGCCCGAGACATTTACCGAACTCATTTGCTTTCTGCTGAGCACTGTCCCCGTGTCCAGCCATCAAGACCGTTGATTGGCAAGCACTGGATAACAACGCTCCTGGAACAGGATGAAAGTTTTCCTTCAGTCACCGGAGCGACTCGGAAGGGATCTATGTCGATTGTGACGATCTAGTCAAATTTTACGTACCGGAATTCAGAACAATCCTGTCCTCCCAATGGGAGCTTGTCATCGAGGCCGCAGGGAAAGGTTTCCCGAACGTGTCGTGTCTCACCACAAACTCACTTTTCATGAAATTTCCGATCGCGCTCGCGATAAGCTCCAGAACCTACAGGAGCAATAATTCTTTCAACATTAATCGGAGATTACCTCTCTCCAAGGAAATTGAACCGGTGGATGGGGAGAGAGTGTGAATATAATATATCTATCGTAGCACCTAAGTTGAAAGTATGACTGGCGGCTCATAGATCGAAGATTGTTCATCAAAGCTAGCGGCTCGCTCACTTTGCAGTTGTTGAGCTCGGAAGTTTTTTTCGAAGCGTTTGCGATGAGTATGTCTCCGACCAGGATCGCGATCTTATTGCCGTACTGAAGATCGTTCAATAGAGACTCATCCGTGATGAGCTCTCTAGACAAGTTGAGGACGTCTCTGGAACCGATGAATCTGCTCTTGATCGATCAGGAATCGAGTGATCTTGGAATGCTCATGTAGGTCGAACAATTCAGGTCTCATCATCTCGAGCAGATGTTTGAGAGCCCGTCCTCACCGGTGAATAAGATGCGATGTGTAGACCATCTCAACGATTTCCGAAAGATTTTTCTGACGCTCCGTAATACCGTCCACCGTGGCCTCTTCCCATTCACCCAAGAGCATCTGAGGGCTCCCTTCGATGTGGCCGGCGCATCGAGACAGCAGTAAAATCACCAACCCTCTCGTTTGAAGATTGTTTCTTCCGTTGTAGATGAGCTTCCTGGGAAAGAGAACCCGATCCGTCGATTAAGTCAAAATAACACTCTAATCCCGAAGACCGCTGCGTCTTCCCAGAATTCGTTTCCATGCTCAGACGTATCGACCCTCCCGGCCGGCTGACTCACTTTATCGTCTTGATCACAGGATGGGTCGTGTTCAACAGTTTCCTGATGTGCGATCCGGCGCCGACTCCGCTGTCGCTCATCAGGAGTTTCATGGTGAAATTCGAACTCGGCAGACCTTGAATCGGAAAAGGTGACGAAACGATCAGATATGATTACCCTGGGAACTCGTTGACTCTGAGAGAGAACTCCAAGCCGATCGACCAAACGGTGAGACGTCGGAGGTCATGATGGGGCAGCTCGTCGTGATCTTGCCCGGAACTTCGTCCGGAGGTTTCCTACTCACCCACAATTTTCTCCGCGTTCGAAATCGCTCTGTTCCATTGTGCCAGTCGTTTGTCATTAGCGAGCGTCAGCGAGTGTGACATTCGAACGAGTCCTCGAACACCCGTGAAGTTCACTTGGGAAATACATCGACTCAAGGCGGGAAGCATACTCGATTCTGTGTCGATCGACGAGTCCAACAGCTGGGTCCCCTTACACGCGTCACTCACGGCCTCAGAAAACAAGCATCGAATTCCGAGAGAAGAACCGCCTTGCCAATCGTAGAAGCTCAGCGAACAGAGTCCACGCACCGGTCGGAGGTCGGACAGAACAAGGGAAGTAGCTCCCGATCTCGGATGAAGAAATGACGCACAACAGAAGACGGAAGAATTCCGCCACGGTGGTAGACAAACGTCTTGCTCGCTCCGTTCGGGGTTTGTGGGTCAGTTTCCTTCCCCTTCTCACCCCATTTCGGTTTTTGGGACGGCGACAGCGAGGATTGTCAGCTGTTTCTTGCGTTGCTTTCTACCGCTCGCCGCCATGCTGTCGTCGGATGGACGGCCGCAGCATCAGCGACTCTCTCCACACAGGCCCTCGGTCTGGACGAAACGCAGAGCGCCTATCAGACCAAAAGCGTTGGGGAATACTCGATTTCGCCGCTGTGAGCCTCCCCGCGCACCCCCAGATCAGATCAAGCGCGCCCGGAGAAAATCGGCGGATCCCGGTCCCTCGGTCGCCATCAGCCCCCAAACGCGAGGTGCCGGACGGCGACGATCGAAGAGGCGACACAGAGACAGAGACAGGTCCGCCGGGCGGTAGAATCCGACCGTCGATCAATTACTCCTTCGTCCACACAGGAAGTCTTTCCGATGGAGCGCTTCATGTGAACACTTTGTGAAGCTCAGTCCAGTGCCCGGGAAAATGAGTTTACATTCTCCTCGGCAACAGTAGCTCCGCAGTGAGGGTGAGTTTGAAAACTTCGCCGAGAACCTAGAGCACACAGTCAATGCTCGCGCCGCCTTGCACTTTTGCATCGGTGCGGGGAGACGCGTGGCTTATCGACAGTTTCGACGCCGGGAAACTAGATGATCGACCCGACTCGATCCGGTCGGATAGCCAGAGCGTTCACTCTCGTCGCTGGGGATGGTTCTCTCGGAAGAATTGACCGCGCGACTCCGTGGGGTCAACCGGTAACGTCACTATCGATCCGTTCGGTTCCCCGACTACATCAGGAAACAAGCTCCCCAGCGAATGTCTTCCGCGCACTCGGAGAGGTGCCGTATCCGAGGGAATCCATTCTCTTGAGTCGGAATGTTCGGGCTCGTGACAGATTTCGAGAAATTACTCGCAGAGGAAACTCATGATGGCGTCAAAGGGTGTAACCTAGGAGCGTGCCGCACACGCGACTCTGATTCCCGGTCCGCAGTCATCTTTCCATAGATTGATTTCTTTTCTACTCGCCCCACGCGATTCTTGTTTGCCTTGAACGGTGGTGGTCGGGGAGATCGCTGTTCTCATGATCGTTTTCCTCCTTGTCGAGCCACTTCCTCAAGTCTAGCTCGGAAAGACAAATACACATTCATATACCCGAGCGGCGGAGCAGACCTCGATCTTCAAATCGGAACGCACCTTCGTGACGTGATCGCAGCTGTGCGGAAGCGAGACGCTGAAACTCGTCAATCATTCTCCGGCGTATCTCGAGAGCTCGAAAATTCTTCCCAACAGCACCTGAATTCCCGGCTACGCTATTAGGCGTGCCGAAGAGCAGATTTTCGGCTGAGCCGCGGACATACGGAGTCCGAACTCAATTAGAGAATCAGAAGTCGTCCTGGACGCGGAATTTTTCGCCGTGATCGGGAGATCATTCTCTACGCGCCCAGGAGGTTCTGCCGGCCATCGGCTCGCTAGGGATGCGATCCATTGCAGACAGTTGTATTGCGTGGGTCCGAATGTTTCGACAGTGACTCCGAGAATGAATGATTTACGTGATTTTTCCTCGTCCAGGTGACCGACAGTTAACCTATCCTCGGGAAGCAGCTTGATCTTTCGGCTGGGTTGCTCTTTCTCCCATGACGAGGAGAGCCGTCCGCGATCCAGCTGTTTCTGACGAACTGTTAGGACACCTCGGACGACTGTGGAGAAAATTATCCTCCCTCCGTCGGATGATTAATCGTCTAATCGATCCAGCGAGTGAGGGACTTATCCTCCGACCGACTAAAACGAGAAATCCCTCTCAGGAAAGCATGGACCATCTCCTCCGGGATAGGGGGTCATTGGTGGCTGCACTCGGCGCTGGGGTTGTCGTTGGCATCTCGGGAATCTACATGTACTACCGACTTAACAAGACGATGTCTCGGGAAATCGGTCATCTGGCGGGGACTATCGACAACCTTAAGCGAGAGATTGTGGATCTCCGCGTACGCGAAGAACTTCTCGAGGCGGCCGCTAAGGACAAGCTCATCAAGAGGACGGTCAGAAGAGTTCCTCAGTCGATGAGGTGAGTCTGTCTCCCTAGTGCTCTGATCGGACTCTGGTGGAAATCAGTTCGAATGATCGCGCTGTTACGATCCCGCGGGATCGCGGCCATTGACTAATCGCACGAGCTTTCCCCTGCTGTTCCAGAGCTCGTCCTACGGTCGACAGTCCGGCGTCTTCTTCCTCGGCCACGAATTACGTGACCGCTTCCGAAGCGACGCTGGTCAACGGCGTCTTGAGTGACGATGATGACGAGGAGTTCTTCGATTTCTCGGACGACGACAACAACAGTCTCGATGCCGATAATGAAGAAGTTCTAACATCATCATCACTCACCGGCGATAGATGGATCGAAGTCATCGACGGCAGACTTGACGACGCGAAGTTCGACAAGCAAGAACTCTTTGTCCAAATGAAAATCAAAAAAGGCGATTACGTTCGACATCCTGGCTATCTATGGAGGCTCGCCAAATCGGCGCATTTCGCGGGAATCGTCGTTCAAAGTGCAGGCGACATTGCCCGTAAACGGGAACTAGCTTTCGAAGCTCACAAGTAAGTTCAAGAATTTCCCGCTCAGATGACTGATGGGATTAGCTGCGCCGATTTTTTTCGATCCAGCCTGCCGCCGCGATCCGACGCTCATTTATCGGTGGCTCACGGCCGATGAAGGAGCCGATGACCGAGGCAGTTTTTGGGTCTATTTTTTCCGGAACTGTCGTCGATTCCGTGTGAAGAAAAAACGCTTCTCCTTCAAGGTACGCTTCTGAAGCTCTTCAGCTCGCCCCCGAAGATCCGGAATGTCACAAATGGTACGCCATAGCGGTGGGCTCGCTCTCGGAGTTTGTTGGCACACAGCAGAAGATCCAGAACGGCTACGAATTCAAAAAACATGTCGACTGTGCCATCAAACTGAAGCCGCAGGATCCAACGCTCCACCACATGCTGGGGAGATGGTGTTACGAGGTCAGTATGGCGAAGTGATGCAGTTTCGCATGGGAACAGTGATATCCAGCACTGGTGTCTCGAGAAGATTTGGTGCGCGGAATGTTTCTCTCTCATATACATCTCTATGTTGTTCTTATCACCGGCAATTGAGCTCTTCCTTTCGATTTCCTCTACGCGAAGGTTGCCCAGTTGTCGTGGGTCGAGCGGAAGCTAGCGTCTACTCTGTACGCGACACCTCCGCAAGCATCCCTCTTGGAAGCTCGAACTCATCTCCTCGAAGCGGAGAGACTGAAGCCAAACTGGAAAGAGAACATGCTGTATATCGCAAAGACATTCATTGGTGAGCGATCGTTTTTTCTAAAGTCGCCGAACCTATTCTGAGACTTCTTGCCCTAGGGAAATGAATTCGCGAATCGATCGGCTCACGCGTTTTCATCCTCAGGTGAAACCAATTATGCCCCTGCGATATCGTGGATCGACCGCGCTGTTGCTGTCCAGGCCGAAACCGAAGGTGACAGAGTCGCTCACAAACAGTTGGAAACTCTTCGACAAACCTATTCCAAGTATCGCGAATAGCGCGTTCAATCTCGAGAAGCGATTCCAAATGGCAGACACAAGTTGCTCGGCCCGTGTGTACACAACAACTGTGAGACAACCGCTTAGATTGCGAATCACGGCGGGAATTCACGTCAGTGAAGAAGAGAAATCGGGTGGAGGAACTCGAGCGATTCTGCGCCTCGAATGAATCGTGCGCATTGGAACGTTGTGATATTTGAAGTGGTCAAATGTGTAGCCTCGTGAAAAACAACCGATGATGAAGATGACGCGAGAGCCTCCGGTCAGCGAACGGTGGAGTCGAGGCCGTCTTCATATCGCCTCGATATCGCGATCCAGCGGAATCTCTATCGAGATCTGTACACTCGATCAGGTACGATTTGCGCGAGGTGAATCCCTGATTATCGAATCTGTCTGATGCACGCCGGCTGTGCATCTGTCGGTCTGACCTTCTCACCACGAGTCATTTATGTAAAATTCTCTGAGCTGAGACTCCTTCTCATGTACGGAAGATTTCGACCGGCGGATTCCGATCCGGTCGGAGAGCGTACTCATCCTACATAGTAATTTGAAGAAATTAGAGAGAACGGTGGAGGTATATCAGAAGATACCTAATGCAATATACATATACATACTTTTTTGATTGAGGTCCAGACCAATAGGGAACACGAATTTCCATAAGTTCAGTCCCAATACTCTGGGAATATCCGGGGGGAATATTAGTCAGGGATCATCCGGTCGAACTCAAGAATGAATAAAATAATTTCCCTTCGGTTTGTAGAGTTTGAGGTCTCATTCGAAAATTCGAGCATCGGTGAATTCGCCTTTGTCGCTGGAGAGCTTTTGAAAAAAATCGCAGGGGCTCCAATCCCTGCACCCTATCTCGCTGGGGAGCCCCCCAAGCGAGAAGGAGGAAGGCGAGTCGATGAAATGCATATCTCTGTTCGAGAGGATCGATTTTATTTTCTATTCACAAAGCACCTCCTTCGTTGAACTGCATGAGTTGCAAGGTAACAAAACGGGAGTCCGAAAGGCCACATTCAATGATAAATCAGAGGATCATCTGACGCTTCTCCTCTTCATCAGTCGATGATTGTAGACTCGTTTTGCGCAATACTTCACCGATCATGGTCTGTGAGCTGCAGTTCGTTATTCGCACGCTCACGTATTCTCCGGGATGTATCCGCTCTCCTCCGACTTCGTTGGCGATGATAACTTTGGTGTTCCCTACAAGAATGCTCTCCTTTTCATTTTCTGCGACGTCTCATCCGGACACAATGGGCGTCTGGAGCAAGTTTCCGGGATGGAGGCTCGCAGTACCCCACTCATGACTCTTACCTTCATTCCTACCGAAGAGTTCCTCGGTCGATCTCTTGCTCTCACCCTCAACGAGCACGGTCTGGATATCACCGATCTGCCTGCAGCGAATGATTCGTACAAAACGTCAAATTCCGAGGACCGACAGAACCCGGATTAGTCTGGAGTTTCCTCTGGCTTCCTGAGTCCTACCGAGTACCCTGTCACGAAAATCGAAATTCCATGGAAACCTACTTCTCAAACTTCAATTTCGCCTTCCGGCGGAAAACTTCCAAAATTTCGATCGCTCGTCTCTTCTTATCCTCAAGAGGAACATCGTCCTCGAGCCGTCGATGGGCCCTCGTTTTTTCTCGGAGACTGTACGGGAATGCGTAGCAGAACGTGTAGCCGACCTGGGTTCGGGGAAATTCACAAGGAGTCTTAGATAATCGCGCAATGAGGAACGGAAATCACTCAAAGGATATCCTTCGTGAGGGTTCTGTTCACCTGTTCCACTAGACTCAGGGTCATTTGATGTTCGTCTTCGGTTTCGCCACAAAAACCGGTGATGAAGTCGGAGGTGAGCGAGACGTTGGGCATGAACTTGTATATCGTATCCACTAATGTCAAATAATCTTCACGGGTATAGCCTCGGCCCATCAGATCCAAAACGCGGGTACTTCCGCTCTGTGCGGGCAGGTGTATGTGATTGCAGATGTTCTTATGCGACGAAATGACTTGCAGAACCTGAGGGAAAGAAGAGATCGAGGCTTCATATTGGACCGAATTAATTCGGTGGGTAGACCTTCTCAGTCGGAGATTTCAACAGAGCCCTGACGTTCGGTGACATTCGGGAGAGCCTCTAACCTCGTCTGGGAAATCTTTCGGATGCGGGGACGTGAAGCGAACGCGCATCTCAGGATCGACTTCTGCGACTTGATGCAGGAGATCCGCGAATCCTAAGCCCCCGGAACGGAGTTTGCATTTCGACTTGAAGCCCTTGGCTAGCCCAACATCTGGAATTGATTTCAGCATTCAATATGTCAAACGGTCGGGTCTCGATCTATCGTTTGCTCCGTGTATGTAGGGGGTTCTGATAGATTTAGGAGAAGACATGTAGCGATGAAGAGCTAGTCACTCCGCCTCACCTGTGAAGCGTATGAAAGGATGAGACTCTTCAGACATGTCCCGGTAACTGTTGACATTTTGACCGAGTAAAGTCACTTCCTTGACTCCATTCAATGACAAATGCCTAACTTCGTCTAGAATCGAATTCATAGGTCGAGACCGCTCCCGACCTGGAAACAGATTGTGGAGCGCGATTAGAGCCGCATGGAGCGGGACGACCCTTATTCAATCAGACGCCGTCTTCGAAATGATGAGCTTAGGAAGGTAGGTAATCTCGCTCAGATTGAACAGATCCAGCTGTCGGAATCTCAGTCCTGATCCACTGACCTCTGGTGAATGGCACGATACAGTACGTGCACATGTTGTTGCATCCGCGCATGATCGAGACGAACGCAGTTTTTCTTCGCTCGTCGAGTCGGACTGGGGTCACATCGGCGTAAGTTTCATCAAGGGACAGTTGTACATTGACTCCTGCTTGGCCTCCTGACGCAGTTTCCAGTAATCTCGGTAGATCTCTGTAGCTGTCGGGACCAGCAACCACGTCTACGGATTTCTCTTTTTCCAGCAGCTGAGTTTTCAATCTCTCCGCCATGCAACCGAGAACTCCCACCTGCAGATCACGTCGCTGCTTATGTTTCCGAAGGTCTTGGAGTCTCCTCCAGATTTTCTGCTCGGCCCCCTCCCGAATCGAGCACGTCATGATTAGAACCACGTTGGCGGCGTTGTGGTTCAAGACGCGCTCGTAGCCCTTCTTCTTCAGGATGGACCAGACTATCTCGGTGTCGTTGACATTCATCTGACAACCGTAGACCTGACGAAAAAGGAGAGATGCAGCAGTCGGGAACACGGAATTTGAATCCGAAATAGAATGAGACCCATCAACAAAAGTTCAGGACCCAGACAAAAGCCTGGAGCGGAGGACTCTTCGATACTCCTCCGGAAGGTCGAACGGAGTGATATCATAGGAATGAAGTCGAATTCTCGCGAGAACTCTCACCTCGAAGAAGACTTTCTTCAGTTGTGCGCTTTCGTCGATCAGGTACGGAACTTCGGTGGGGTCATAGTTCTCTCGAGGAACGCTCGAGTTCGCTATGAAAGCCTCCAGCGAAGGACCCTCAGCGAGTTTTTTCGTCCAGGAACCGCAATTTCTACTCAACGGCTCGAAGAGCCGAAGAAAACGAGACATAATCTAGGTCTAGATTCTCGACCTCATGAGCAAGGTTTGGGAACCGCTGTATCCAGTCGATCGGAATGGTCAGAGGTCACCGTTCTCGAAGGACCTACTCGTTTTCTCGTGTTCCGCGCACCTCACTCACCCCCTCAGTGAAAAATATGTTGACATCGGTTGTGTTTACTTTCCGAGTGGATGCCGCCGCTCCCAGCCAATGTGGGCCTAGGAAGGCGAGCAGACAATCCGCTTGAAACAGAGGCGCGCAGAATAGCATCGGTTTTCTCAGTCGGCGGCCCTATTCTTATGAATCAGCGAAATTGACCGATAAGGACTCACGAGTAAATTGATTCTCGCCTTTGGACCAGACCGTTGGGATTATTGGGTGATCAGCGCGTCCGGCGCCTCGACTCGACGGACTCGCCTCACGTGGAACCCTATAGCAGGGGTTCCAAAACGGGGTGCCGCGGAATCCTTGGGTTCCGCGGCGGATTGCGGAGAACCCCTAAGTCTACCTGCGGAACCCCTGCGGAACCCCTAGGGCTTCCGTGGAAGAAAAAGTTTGGGAACCACTGCCCTATAGATACCTCTCCCGGAGTTCTCACGAGTATCCGGTGAGTCAAGGGGAGCTTCGACTCGGTCCGCCGGTAAATTCCTGCGGGCTTATGAGCTCCGATCCTAGAGTACATATCGGGTCTGCTCAATGAGACTCGCTTGGGAGAGCGTCGACTGGGCCATTGCCGCTCATCCTGGTGATTCCGTTCAATGAAATTACGGAGTGCAGCTGCGGTCTAATACCTGTAGGGTCGATCTGCGTCTTCGAGATTCGCGATTTGCGATCCATCCGGAGCCGCTGCGGATATTTTCCGTGAACCAGTCGGAACTCATTCGTTTCGGGACGGAGTTAATCGATATTTCCTTTCGTGATAGATCCCGATAAGCATCCTTCGGTCTGGACTCCCCGCTGATTCATCGCGTTCGAATAAGACTCGGAGGAGAGGAGGGTTTCTTTCGAGCTCGTGGATTCATTCTTGGGGCACTGTGTCCACAGCCTTTCACCGATCCGGTGCTCATCTGGGTCGCGCAAGGGTGTCTAGCAGATAGGACCATCGGAGCCTGATTTAAGGCTACTGGAAGAAGCAGAGACGAGGACAGCTATTGTCGACTCCAATTAGTGTCCTGTCGTCTGTAATAGCGATTCCCCACGAGAGGGCATAGTCGCCGAGCCATTCGCGACGAACTCCGATCTCGACTGAGGGGACAATATCTACGAGGAATTCACGAGGGCCTCGCGCATTGTGACAGCAGTAGAAATGCGCTCTGAAACGTTGTTGTCCCGAAGCCGTCTGAGCTTCCGTTTCCCGAAAATGCGCTCTCTCCCCTGCCGGTCTGCCGCCCGCCTCCCAGCTCCTGCTGCTGTGTGAGTGTGTGCGGCTGCGGGTCTGCCCGGTACAGAACGATGACCTTGAAATAAGGTTATTGACCTTGACTCATATCCTCTTCGACACTGTCAGTCTATCCTGTTTGACAAGCAGCATCACGATGCAAGACGGCGATCGTTCCCGGGGGATCCGAGCACGACGGGCTCGTGGGATGTGTTGCATTCACGAGGCAGCTATATCGATTGCATCCGCTCTTACTCACGCCACTTTCCCTGGGAGTGTCCTGTTCGGAAGCCGATCGAGACCTCTCGCGGGAGAACTCTACGTCGGAAGGGCGACGATACTGGTGGAATTTAGATTTTTGGTTTAAATCTCGTCGAGAGCGCAGGTTACGACTACTGATCGACTTTAGCTGCTCATGGAAGCAACTAAGCAGCGAACGTCTGCCATCGTAGTAGTCGCCCGTCGTCGTTCAGTCAGGGGCCTCCTGCCGACGCAGTGCTGGGCGAGCTCGGCCATACTCAGCGCGTCTGTTTACGATCGCCGGGATTCCCACGCAGCGTAGTAGCGGGATATCCTGTGCATTGGATACGCGGTTGATCTCTCCCTCCACTCGTCAGGATTATTCCGATTGAATATCTCCGGATTCCGCTGCGGATTTGAATTTCTCCGCCAAACGCCTCGCCTCGAGCAGAGCGCCCGCCAACAGCACCGCCCGAAATCGGCGCCGCTAAAGACCTCCCGATGATCGCCTAACAACCCAAACAACATTTGAGAGCCACTCTGCAAACCGTACGGCAAGCTGAATTTGTGAATTTGGACGAGTTGAGCGTCACCGAAGTGTGATGTGCGAGCGCCGCGAGTGAGAACGCTGTAGCTCGGGTCGTGCCGTGTTGAGTGTCAAGCTTGAGTGTTGAATGGGAGGATGATGGCCAGGCTTGTTCATCATTGACCAGAACTGTTGACTGTTAGCTGGCGTTACAGCGTTTGATTCGCTCTCCTGCGAAGATCCGGACAAAGTTTTTTGCATGGAGAAGCTCCACCCGGAGGCCACTGAGGCCTCGCAGTTCCTCAACTCACTGCACGAGTTCCATCGGCAGCGCGGGTAAGTTAGCGGGGTCGAGTTTGCCAGCCGCCTCCAGCCGCAGGAGAGTCAGCAGCGGGACCGCGTAGACTCTAACCGTCCACAAACTCAATCGATTCGGCAGCTTTTCGACCGTGTTCGAGTTCCCGATTAACCGATGGTTGTTGTTTTAGAACGGACTTCAAATTTGCGCCGATTGTTTGCGGTCAAGAACTCGATCTGCACACACTTTACAAATCCGTCACCGCAGTTGGAGGTGCAAGCAAGGTTAGTTTCCGATAGTTTCGCGTTTTCGGGGCCCGCTCGAATGCTCGAACTTTGTAGAGGAGTTTTTAGGAGTCGAAAAGTGATCGAATGAGGTCGTCGGTGAAAACCGAATCGAAATCGGCCGAGAAATCGCTGAACGCGAACAGAAATTGCATCGAATTCTCGAAGTGGCGCTCGGATGTTCCCGGCTAAAAGGGGTTGCCGCAAGGATCCGCGGCGGCCTTGGATAGGGGTGTCTCGGTGGCGCCTTCAAGGGTCTTCGGTGCAAGTGCCCCGAGTGTCTATGTCGATCGTTTTCAGTTGAATTTTATGTGATTTCTGCGTGTTTTGTGCGTTTTGTTAGCTAAGCCTAACGTATAGTGTTGTCGTAAGCTCAAGCCAGTCGTGTTCGCCAGTCCCGGTGATCAAATAAATGCACCCACCCGAAATGAAGTTGCCGGCTTCAAGGGACTCGTAAGCATCGGGATTTTATTCGGTTTCACGAGCGAAAAAATATCGTTTAACGAGGAGCACAGCTCCCACGACGGGAGCCACAGAAATCAGCGGCGATTGAATGTGTATGAGCGAGGCATCGCTCACTTGTCGGAAACTCGACTCTGTCCATCGTATTTTGAACGATATGTTTCCTTTCCTTCCGGGAGGACGGGGTAAATGATCCTTATGCATGGCCCACAATCCCTCCTAATTCTGAATCATCAATGATATTATCCTGATTCTCATCGGTGATGAGCTGGGCGAGACGTTCGAGGTGCGGGCCGAAACACCTGGCCGTCAGTTTTGTTGTTAAACCGGTCGCCGTTGACTCTACGCTCGCGTGAGTGAGTCGAATACTATCGCTCTGACCGGTGTAAGAGTTGAGATACTTTCATGCGCGCCAAAACTTCTTTGCGCTAAGCTATCGACAATGACGCGCGGTCAACACTGGAGAAACTCACTCGTACACCGCGCACGCTTTCAAAGCTCCACCGACAATACGCTCGCAGCCATCTCCCATAATTGTGTCCACTACACAAAATTCAGCTGCCCCGGGTCGATCTGATTCAAGTCGCGGAGGAAATTTCGACTCGTAGAAATTCGATTCTCCTCATTCGTGGTGGGTGAAGAGCGTCGATGATTTTGATTGAATCTCTCCTTCCTGATCATGGAGAGAGCATTACAGTGGTTGGAACAATGTCCGTGATATCTTGATGTTATTCTGATCAGGAAAGCCAGAGAATACGTCGACCCACTATTTTTCGCGATCGTCTTGTCACTCGAGGATTTGCGGAAACATCAACAGAAAAGACGAGGATCTCTCCCGGAAGTGTCCTCGGGGCGCTCGGCTGTCTCATTGTCGGCCCCTGCTCCCAGATGGGTCCTGTAACTCGTGTTTAAGATTCTTCCTCAATCTGAATGTGTGCGAACGCTCTCGAGAATTCTTTTGATTTTAAAAATCATGAGCCCTGTCCAAACTCTCGAGGATGAGCATGCTGTCGGATCCCATTCTGTAGACTTTGAAATGATACGGGCTACGCGATGCAAGCGAATTATTCCCTCTGATGATTGCTCCTGGGACAGCGTAGTTCTCTGTGGCGCTCTTTTTCTCTTTCTCTCGCTGATGGATCATTTTTCGAAATTGGAACCGGAGACCCCTCTCCAGAGGTGAGAGACCGAGCAGTCTTCGGGAATGCCCGAATTCTAGCGCTCGCGCCGATCGCGTCCGAAGCGTTATTTTATGCTTTCAATGTGAAGAAAATCCATGATAATTAGTTGATCAGCCCCTGGTTTGCGTCGGTGGGGGATTCTGCCAAGGCTTATCAAGGACGGCAAGGGATCTGATTTTGAGGAATGAGTGATTTTGTGCGAAAAATTGCGCGAATATAGAGAGTTGTTATTTCATCGTTCGGAGCGGAAAAACGATCCGAAGGCAGTGAGCTCTACCCTTGGGGAAAGCTCTCCTCCCGGCTAGATTCAGGCATCGCGATCGGTATCGTCTCGTATCGAGCGCGACCACACTAGAGAAAAACCGTCGTGGTGGAGGGCGCCGGAGAGAGGGGTGCTTGTTCTTCGGCGCCCCCGGTGCGCTTCCGGTCTCCTTCCCTCGTGAACGAGTCGGATTCTCCCGAGACGGAATTTTTCGAGAAAGAGGAATCTCATGATTCCAGAGCATAACCGTCTCTGACCCCTTTCAGATCAACGAAAAACCTGAACGATGGTACGAAATCTCGCACCAAATTCGGTTCCCGGACAGATGTCCGAACGGAACTCTGGTTCTGCGACGGATGTATCAAAGGTACCTGAGCACATACGAGAAAGTGACGTTCCTCGGAGAGGATCCGGACATGGAAGTCGAGGATTCAGGAGAAGTTTCTTCATCGGCGCTTCGAAATCGAAACGCGAACCGAGGCGGTGGAGCGAATTCGAGCGCGGTCGTTGTACAGGTCCCGATGTCCTACAATCGGTAAGATCAAACTCCTAAATCTCAAAACTCATGATTACGTATTTTGAGCTCCGATGTTTCCCCTCCTCAACTCGGCTCTTCTTCTCATCTGCGTACGAATCTTCTCTGACAAGGAACGGCGTCATTTCGAAATTTTCAGGCAACAGCACGACGTTACCGACGGCCAACGGGTCAACTATGGCTTATCGACGCAGTTCGCTCCGGCGTCCTCACCTTTTGAGCGATTGTGTTTCTCCCTACAATCTGGTCTACCGAACGAAGAAACGTTCGCGTTGAATGTATGCACACTCCTGGCGAACGGGGGACGACATACCATGCAGCTGAATAAAGCTCCGCCCAGACTAATAGACCTCCTCATCGCCCAAGCAGGCTTAGCCAGCGATGGTGAGTTGTTGTAACCCGCAACGAGCGTTACGAGATTCCCGGAATTCTACCGGGCGGAAATTCCGCCTTCAGTCCACCCTACAATTTCCGCTCGACCCGTTTCAGACGCGACGCTGAAAGACATGTTGGAAGAATCCTGGCGAGACTGCGAAGCGAGACGCATGGAGCGGTTTTGGCAGGAGAACGTTGATCCTACGGTAGGAAAATGCTTCGGTTTGAACCCGCTGCCGAAGTACGAGAAGCTGGTCGAGCAACGGATGCAAGACGACACCATCGAGCTGATCGCCGAGGGAGGGTTCATGGCCTCGAAGGATGGACTCATCGACGAAGATGATCTTTTCAATCTGAACAGCGAAGTGAGCCCGCGAGATGCGGAAGCTCAGCGAGTCCTGAGAATAGCGTTGATTCTGCACAACCTGAGCTTCGAAGAAGCCAATGCGCAAATTCTCGCACAAAATCAAGGTTTCCTCCGGATGATGATGTTGAGCTCCCTGAGTCGCTGGGCCAGTCTCCGCCAGGTCGGCTTGGACTGCCTATCGAACATCGCTCCCCATCTACAACTGAACGTGCACGATGATCTCTGCTGTCGGAGTCTCTTGAGACTGACCGTCGACGGTATTCTGAAATCCGAAGACCGGGGTTTGGTGACGAGATGCCTTGACATTCTGGCCCATCTCGCCCAGTGCGAGAACAATCATGGAACTCTCGTCGCCGAGCTTGACGCCACGCTATTCGAGCGTTTGCTCGAGCTGCTCACGGTGCACGATGTGTTGCTCATCATCCATAGTCTCGAAACGCTGTTCGCTTTGACCGAATTGGGCGACGGTATATGCGAACGACTCGTCGCAATCAGGCACGCCATAGGAATCATTGTTTCAATGTTATCGCTGGATCCCATATCGTACGGATCTTCAGCTCAGCGAGGTATGAAAATCGTGGAGCACTTCGATCCTTCGCTGCCACCTGTTGTTAATCCTAGCGCGACACACATCCAAATCCAAACGGTACAAGCCGCCGCAACACCAGTGCAGCATATAGTCCGACCAGCCCAACCCAACGCCAGTATTCAAGGTGAGTCGTCCCGGAAGCTCGGAGGGATTCGGTGGTGGGAGACAGCTCTGGGGAAAATTCCCTCCCCGTGACGGACTAGGGAGATCCTGGAATTTCAGCTGATGGTGTTGTTCTCTCTCGCAGTAGCTCAAGTGCCAGCGGGATCGACGCCGGTCGGCGCGTCGAATCACGGTTCTGCGGTCGTAGTGAGCCAAGAAGCCACCGTGAGCGAGACGGAAGCCTTGGCCATCGCGTGGATTCGTTCTCACTGTGAGCTCACGCCGGGCGCGTCGGTCGGACGTCAGGAGCTCTATGCCGATTACGTGACATTCTGTTCGAAAGCCGGCAAGCGGAGTGTTCTGAGTGGTCAGCACTTCTCGACGTGCATCAAGAATCAGTTCCCTCAGTCATCATTGAAGGTACGAGCTCGAACGTCAACATTTCTTGTTTTTTTGTTACGAAAATAAGCTAATCCTCCACAAAATCGTCGATTTCGATTATTTTATATAAATTGATACACTCTCCTCGAATCCAGGTAACTCAAGTGAGCGGACCCAATCAACAAGTGGGTCAAGCCTGGCAGTACGACAACCTCAGACGGAGAGCGACTCCTACGCCCGTAACCGTTGCACCTACGATCACGACCAGTGTAGTCACTCAGGTGAGCTCGATGACCGTTTTGTTAGAACGTCGGTGAATGTTTGATCTGCTCTGGAAATTCCGACGACAACACTCATTTGCCGTTCGAAACCGTGACTATCGCGAGAGCGAGATCCCCAATCCCATCCCGAAAGAGAGAGCGAGCGAGCGAGTGTTGTCGTTGCGTTTCCGTAGGCGCTCGTGCTACACGGGAGCTAACTCAGGGATCGGGGAAAGCACATTGCACCACACGCGCATTCCACATGCCAAGTGAACGTTAGATCCGAATGCAACTCACTACACTAGTAATGATCGAGACGGTAGCTACTCTGTGGTTCACAAATCCGTTAATTCGGATTGAGCGCTAGGCTAGGCTTGCTACTGCTGATTACGCTACTGCTCGCTCGGCTGAGTACTGACACTGACCGCTGAACGGGAGAGATGAGACAGAATAGAGGGTGTGAGCCTCCCTGTGCCGGAACCAAGATTCCCATATGGTGACGCGGAGGTTTTTGGGAGCAGTCGTTTCTATTCGGTTGGATCGTAGGTTGGACGGTTTATACTTATTATCGATTGTTAGACCTGTTGTCATCGTCCCTGTCGACTTTTCCGTTAACACGACTGAAGGGACTCCATTTGAGCATTTATTATTAAAGCTGCATGCGGAAGCACTCGAACACTCTCTAACAGCTGCTTGGACTAGCGAGAAAATGAAAGGACTGTTGAGTGATGATCGACTGGATTGGGACGGCGGGTCCGGGGAGCACCATGTCGGCTGCCTGCGTAGTGGTGGAGTTTTTTTGTCTTCGAATGCCCCCTCGAGCTTGTGTGCTCCCTCGAAATCGAGGGAGAGAGAAAGGGAGAGAGCGAGAGAGAAAGAAGAACGCAGACGCTGACATGCCATAATTGGCTCATTGTAGCTTTCGGCGACCGCCATGAGTACGCCAAATCCGCTAAGTGCGTCGACGACGACGACGTCGACGGCAAGCAACATGCCGGCCTCGATGGTCGCTCCGAAGGAGAAAGAACCCGCAGCGGGGTCGGCGGGGAGCATTCTCAAGGCGCAGCTGAGTGCGCCTAGGCAATGCGTAACCGCGGCTGCCAACGACGATGAGAAACAGCCTCAGCAGCCGCAACAGGTGCAGCAGCCGACGACAGCTGCCGGCAGCACCCAGGCGGGCAGTAGCAACCTTATTAAAAGTCTCTTGGCGAGTAAGGTACGTCGCTTCACACAGAATTAGGAACACGGACAATTAGACGGGATGTGAGACGAATCCTGGATGGGGGAGGATTCTCATTGGGGGCATTATCTTGAGCAACTGGTCGAGCCCCCGCAAAATTGGTCTTTCAACCTACTACCATATGAGTGACACATATATTGTATTAAGTACAAGGAAACCGATTCAACTCGGATGACCCTCGGTTCTGTGATCTGAACGCTGCCTTTCGTCGCCTTGCAGGTTTCACGGAATCTCCAGAAACAAGCGGAACAGGCGACAGCGGGTTCAACGCTGGCAGCCTCGACGCCGATGGGCACAACAGCAGCCGCGACGATTATAACGGCGCCGATCAGCAAGCCCAAACCCGCCGCATGTGAAAATGTGTCGTCGAAGGAAGAAGCTCACGTCAACGGAATCGAGGAATCGAACGATGGAGCACCCGAAGGCCTTGCTGCGAGGGGTATTCCGCCAGTCAAAGAGACCGGTGGCGTTCCCGCGAAGAGTAATGGGAACCATGAAGTCGTCGCGGTGAGCAAGGTGTACAAATCTTCACCGCTTTTGAATGGTCTGCTCGACCGGGGAACACCCTCTGTGAAAACGGTCAACGGCGAAAACGTTGACGAGTCGAAGAAAGTCAACGGCGATGGAGTTACCATAATCGATGTCCGGAAACGGAGACTCACATTCAGTTCGGACGACTCCAACAGCCAAGAGGATCACAGCGTGAGTTTTTTCTTCTCGATCGAGATGGTAGACTGAGAGGTGAAGCTCGACGTTGAAACTGTTAAGATGAGGTTTATTCCTTCCGCAGGACAAAAAACAGATCGCAGGGAAGATTTCAACGAAGACGACACTGCACAACGGAGTCAGTGAAGATGCTTTCCCGACGAATAACAACGATCAATCCAAGAGAATTAAGCTCGACAAAAGCGATCAGCCTTGTCTGAAGGTGAGATTTCGATCCCCAAAATAGGCACGATTCAGACTCGCCATTCCCGCGCGGGATTCCAGACCAGCCCCTCTGCCTTCCTCACGGGCCGCTCACGAATTTTTTCCTGCTCGATGGAGAGGGTGCCCGGCCTGTTTTGGCTCATTGCTCACAATAGGGACTAATCGGAATCTTTTCGAGCTACAGCAAGCCAATGGCGACTTGAGTGCGACGACGGTGGACGCAGAAAAAGCGGTGGAAGAACCAGTCAAGGGAAATAGCGACGTCCTCAACGAGCCAGTCGAGACTGAGGACAAAGAAAAAACGTCGACCGACGAAGTCAGGGACGGAGCCAAACAAAGCAGTGACGACGGTAAAACTGTCCCTGAAAAGGACCAAGAAAAGTCGAAGGTACGAATTCGTGATCTCGACGCTTCGAAGTTGATCTCCGACAATATCGTATATAAGTCGCTCGATTGTTCCGCGTATCGATACCGTCTCCTCTCCAAAATTCACCCGATCAATCTGCTTGCAGGAAGAGAAACCTGAGAAGGTTCTGAGATACTATTGCGAATGGAGAAACTGCGAAAAATCATTTCTACAAACGCGGCAAGTGTTCCTGCATGCGATCCACGACCACGTAGGTCTCCGGCCGTCCGCGAGCGCTCCTCCCGGAAACGAAGAAATGTTTTGTGAATGGGGCGTCACCGGTGATAAGAAGTCCTGTGACAACATGGCCCGCAAACGTTTGTCGCTCTGTACGCACGTCCAGGAACGGCATTGTAGCGATAATCACCTACAGATCCAAGCAATCCGGCGGCAACAGATAAACCAGTTCGGCACGGCGAGCTTACCCGCACCTCAACAGCCGCCGCCGCACCCCGGCTACGCTCCGGATGCTGCAGTTCACGCAATTCGGAGACACGCTCACAGCTTCTATCAGTATAAGGACGCCGCCGACGAGAAAGAACATCCCGTGACGAAGAGTGTGCGATTAACGGCGGCTCTGATCTTGCGGAATCTCGCCAAGTACGCGCCTGAATGCCGGACGCAATTGGTTCAGTACGAACATCGGTTAGCGCAGGTGGCGATGTCGTGTTTGGAAAGCTCGAGAACGATCGCGCAATGTCTAGCAGATATACATGGCTCTCAGGACAGTGCGAGCAAGGTATGTTCCCCTTATTCGCTCAAAGGCTAAATTGTCTCCTCGTGACCTACTCTCCCATGATTTATTCATTCATATATTTCCGTGGGCCATCGGATTTTTTGTGACTCTTCCGCCACCAGTTTTTGAGCCATTATCCACCCTCAGTTGTGAGCATTTCTGAATTCCCTCCGAGGCTGTTCGTATTCTAGTTCCGAAGTCCTTGCCTCACATGAATTCGAGCTCTTATCTGTTATCAGTCGAATTCCTTCCTATCATTAAAAATTTATCTCTTGATTGGAACACGGATATTTTCCCAGGACTCGACACCGTGCCCGTCCAGGTTATCCAGAGCAGAAGCTAATGACTTTTATTCTCCATGCAGACATTGGCCTTGATGGAGCAGAACCAGCTCTTCCAGGAGGAGACTCGGCCTCGATACACGACCGGAAACGACGTGGCGCAATCTCACTGAAAAGCTCCGTCAGCCCCATAATGGATCTAATATATCATCGAGCAGAGAATCATCCGAACCAGAGAGGTTCCATCCGGGAGCGTGGAGTAGCGTACATATATATAGATAGATAGTTAGGTAAAAGATCGGAATACAGAACGAAACGAGGCTTCTCCTGCGAGTGGGTGTTAGACTTGAGGGGGAAATCAGCGAGAGAGAAAGAGACCGAGCGAAACAATGATCGTCGCCCTGGTCATCGTTCTGAGACTCGCGGTTGAGCAACTGCGTGTCGAACTCTGTTTGTAAGTTACGGGCGGGCGTTTGTTTTCCGAACGTTAATTGGTCCACAGAATTGTGTGTACATAGAATATACATAGAGGAAGAGGAGAACAGAGAGAAGAATGCAAACGAGAGATAACCGACTCGAAAGAGAGGACGGCCATCGAGTCCCTACCGCGTTCCGTCCGACAGCGATGGCGGTGCCGGGATGGGGAGATCAAGGGAAAACAAAATTCACACGAGACGAAAGCTGGCGCCGTGTGACAGATGGATCGGAGAAATCGAGGGGCGGAAGCGGATCCGGTCGAAACAGTTGTGTAATTAATCTTTTGCTTCCGAGTACCAATCATTATGTACAGGATTTGTCACCCGGTTTGGTAGCGGAAGCTTGTTCATACTTGGAGTTTATCGAGCACGTTAGCAACTTTCATTGATGACAACAAAATCAACAATATGATACTACGACAAAAGCATTAACAAACCGAAGGATGCAAACACCACTGAATCGAGACGGACCCGAGGGTGAAGTCCTTCCATGACTGGATGGATAGGGGAAACGACAACATCAAGGGCAGCAAAACAACAGAGTCAACAGCAGAAGCATAGCGGATCGAGGCAAAAACGAGACGAAACTTAACCTATGATGGATATGACACGTTGCAACTCGGCGTGGTGGATATTCCTCGCAGACGAAGTTTTGTATGAATGAATTTGTTGGGCTGACATGAGTGATGATTAATTATTGAACATAGCTAGACCGCGATAGGAAGAGTCAACATCAATTCAACGCGTTGGAAGATGTAGGTCGATAGAGTGGTCGGACCGATTGTACTCGGAGGTCGGCATTAGTTGAGCTAATAGTGACTGCCTGGGTGACTGACTGCCTACCTGCCTGTCCGGCTGTCTGTCTGGTGATCATGATAAGGAAAAATCCTCGCTATAAAGACTGCTGGTCCGAGTGGAACGTTGTGCCTTGGGAAGGGGAAAAGGGATCAATCCATGCATGGAATCGCAAGGAGGGGGATCTAAATCAGATATCGCCTCTTGATGGTCCAGACTGAATACATTCAAGACTCGAGAGGAGGAGGCTGATAGAATACACAAACACACATGTACACAGGAAAAGTCGTGGAGGAGACGTGAATACAAAAGAGGAACAATATGAGAAACACGCCGTAACGTACATCCTTGCAGATTATCTCACAATTTATGCATTCAGAAAAGGCTGAATGCCGGAAAGGTAGCCAGGGGCTCTCGAGATGGTATCGCTGATATCAGCGGTGTGTCTTGATTCTCCATTCTCGAACGGATCAAGCCTCACCGAACGGAATGTCGGGAACTCCCGGGCGGGGATCGCGGTGATTTTCTACTTTATGTTCACTTTTGGTTAGCGTTTCCATTTGGACATTCGAAATACTGTGTACATCTATCATGAGTGTAGAATTCGATTCGATGTCATCCATCATTTCTGAGAAGATGACGTGCAGAAGAAGCATAAGGCAAATGTTCCGAAAATGGTCGACCGCCTATTCTGACGACCAACCGAAGTCAATCATTTCTTTGGGGCGAGGATGAATTACCGTGGCTAATTCCACAGTTGTTCCGCTTCGAGCGACCGGAGTGATCTTTTATTTTTCGTCCGGATCGTTTGCCAGGGTCGGTGCGGAAAACTTGAGTTTCCCCGAGCCGGGCGAAAGTGAGTGAACCAGTAGTAGGCGACAGGTGATGATCTTGATGATGGTAAAGAATTACGAGCATCCACACATTCAAGTTACACCGAGACCGATCACAGTTGAAACGTCTCTCAAAGAGCGGAGGGAAAGAATCTAAAACGGCAACAGCATATTATTTTGTAAAATAAAATATTTAAAGTAAAACTTATAATCCGAGCGTGTTGTTCTTTCCTGTAGGATCAGGGTATCCGCTTTCCAGGTTTCAGTCTCGTCCTCGAACACCGCAATTGTGGCAAACAACGAACTCTTGGGAATACTGAATCCTATAACTCTTGGACTCCAAGTCAAATTAGGCTCAATGACTCGCTGAACGAGACTGTGATTGATTGATCAATCCATCTCGAAATATGAGAGATGGGACCCCGACCTCACTCAGGCACGTCGCGACCCGCTGCGTGCGAGAAGCGAGGATAGATCACGCGGACCTGTATCCCTCCGTCCTAACTTCAAGCTCCGGGCCACGGTTTCTGAGGGGGCGAGGATTTCGAAGGGATTATTTGCACTCTGCATAGAACTTCGAAATTCTCCGCTTTGAATTCGTCACGGAAGTCTCCGAATGCAACGCTCCTTTTTTCACACAGAGCCTTGTTCTCCGCTTCTAGCAATGTCTTTGTCAACGAGAGCATTCGTTTTTTTTATCATGAGATGACTTCAAAGGATCAGCAGATGGCAGGACTCCCAGGTTCATGCAATCTTTCCGATCAATTTCTGAAAAAGCGCCATAAGCAACGACATGAGAGAATGCTCTCCGGTCTGTTTGAAATTCCGAATCGCCAATTGGGAGGACATTCGAATTGGCTCACGCGAGCTCGGCGAATGGGAATGCCCTCGTACGAGTGAGGATATTGCAGGCTATTTCTTCTGAGTCAGCCCCATACATCCCGCGGAACGGCGCAGAACCCCACAAAATATACACGAAAGGAGTACACCTTCGAACGATTCCAACATATGTATGAAAATATATTCCGGCAACTCTTTCAACGAATTCGCTCAGTTTCAACAATTCAGGTGACCGCGTTACATCGCTATGAGATGACATTCATTCCATTATTTATATCTATGACAATGGATCCCACATCGATCTAATTATTCCACCTGTTCAGTTTTCTTCTTCTTGATGTTTTCGATAAGCCACTGAACGCGGCTTATGCAAGCCCGTTTCGATTTGCCATCGACGCGATCTGAGATGAGATCCCAACGTCCTTCAGTCCACTTTGGAAACGCCACCATTGCAAGCTCTAGCTGCTTCTGTTGAGCCTGACTCCATTCGGTGGGATCGAGTTTCTCCGCAGGTTCGTCCCCTTCATCATTCTCATCCTCATCTGAGCTCTTCGAAGTGATCTCACTTTCTACCCAGAGCGACTTGTTCGTGCTCTGTTGCTGTGGAATGACGTTTGTGTTGGACGTTCGCAAGGTTTTTGTCTTCTCTGTGACATCGGCAGTGCTCCTATTGAGAGCTTCGCTTATCTTGTCCCATCGGTCCTGAGTTCCGACGGGGAACTTCTTCAGTAGTCGGATGAGTGCAGCGACTTCAGTGTCGGTCCATGGGCCCGACTTCAGCTCTTTTTGGCCAGACTCCCGTGGAGCCGACGCTTTCGTCGTCGTGACTACTGGAGCGTTCCCGTTGACAACTTGTGCCCCTTTGACTTCGGTCCTCTGTCGAGGAGTCCGTTTAGGTCTAACGATTTCTTCCTCTTCTTCCTCCTCGGCCTCTTCTGGTATTTCTTCTTTTTTCAATCGTTCCTTGATAAGACTCGGGAGCGCGAGAATTCCGTAGAACATCGAGATCGGAAAACTGACGAACCAAATATCCTTGAAAGTGGGAGCGATTATGTGCGACATGAGCTCCTCCCGAAGCTGTCTGATCTCCTCTTCAGCTGCTTTGTTCTTCTTCGTGTTCGTGGACCTGAGTTTCTTCCTCTTGATAGCTTCGTTAACGTTCGAGTTGATGGTGAATTTCTTCTCCCAATAGGACGCGTACATCCAGAGCGTCTGGGCCACGGTCACAATAATCGCCATCAAAACGCTCATTTCCGTCGATCCCATTTTGCGGGCTTTGCGGTAGTATCTGTAGTACATGCTACGAGCCCAATCGGGAATGCCGTACTCGAGCACCTCATGGTACTTCGCTCGTTTCTTCTCATCTTTCAAGACTTCGACCACGGAGGCGATTTTCCGGAATTTCTCGGGAGCGTCAGGGTCAGAATTCTTGTCGGGGTGATACAGCAACGATAAACGCCGGTACGCCTTCCGGATGTCAGAGGTCGTCGAATTCGCGGGAACCTCGAGGAAATCGTAGAAATTCTGTTTCACGTCTTCGACAACATCGAACAGATCTAAATCGTCCACGGTGAGATCGGCAGAAACCAAGGCCCACACGGCCGCGATATGGAATGCCAGGAGCAGCTTCATTTTCGAACGTCAATCCTGCCGGAAGCCAGCCCACAAGGTGAAACGACGACAACCCCGACGGCGGCGTTCTGACAGCCCTGACCACGTGTGAACGCTTCAGAGAAACATATGTTCACTACCACCGAGACTCCGAACTAGCCTCAACTCGTCGTTTTCCAAACTCAAGATCACCAATCTGCTCCAGCAGTGGAACAGCTGAAAGCTCCTCAGCGGCGTGAACGGCGGCAGCGGCGGCGGAATTGTGGGGCAGCCGCGGCGAACAGTTGTGCTGTGTGCTGTGTGACACGCGAATGGGTCCGTGGATGCTCCGCACAGGAGCTCGTTTTTCCAAAACGCCAGAAGGCTCTGACTTCACGTACGCTCAAGAAAGGGGTGTAATGTCATGGGAGCCTCCTCAGGAATGTCAAGGGAAACTTGCGGAAGAAGAAATCCTGTCGTCGACGAGTATTTTGTGAGACAATGGTGTCAATGATCTTTGTTGAGCGGGAAATCCGAATCATTCCCATCAGGCTTCACGAATCACCGGGCTACGGGGGAGTCAATGTTGGAAGTCATGGAGCATGTCCAGCGGTCTACAATGCTCAGGGTCCCATAGCTGTCTCTGTCAAATGTAACAAGAGCTAAGAACACCTTTCAATCTAGCTTCGGGGGCCGTGTGGCCTATCAGGGGTGGAGTCTGGAGTCCTTGAACTTGCAACTCTTGGACCGGAAGTTTTTTACGCGACTGTATGCAAGGGGACGGAGCTTTAAATTTTGGAGCAGCTATTCGAGGAGGGCGCTATCCTAGAGGGAGGACTAGGAGGGAACGAGGAGTTCGACGACCGCTCTCGAATGGGACAGTTCCGCTGATTGTTCGCGACTCCCCCGATACAGGGGAATCGCGCAGATCTCATGAGAATCAGAGCTCAGCTTCACCCCAAGTGACAACAGAGAACCAGACTATGCAGCTCGCGGGATTCAAGGAATGCCGCGGCTTTCTCTTCGAGCTCCTCCCGGGATCCGGCTCCGTGCGAAGCTCGAGATAGCTTCTCCGACCCGAAAGGAAAATCTGGCGGAGGGCTTCTGTCGCCCTGGCATTCCGATTCCAACAGAAACGTTGGGGGTATCCCTGCTCAACCGCGAGACGCTTCCATTTCGCGGACAGTCTACTGTCTGCAAGAGTTGGGGCGATAATAGAAAGCCTTCCATCGATGAACGAGGGATACGCGGACCCCAACAAACGGTCTGCGTGTCGCAAATGACGGAATTTTTCGGACTCGAAGGAGGAGGAGACTCTCGAAAGATAACTACGTATTTTATTTCACAAATACATACATAATCCATTCCGATCATAGTATTCGCTTGTCATCCCAAAATCTGTTGAAATAATCTGCCCCCGTGCGCTGTGCCCGGGCTTTCGCTTCTTCATACCCGAGCATTTCGTCTTCGGAGGGTTCCAGACTGTTCCCGTGTTCGTCTAATTTGCCTGCCTTGAAGTCTGCTTCGATCTTCTCTGTATACATCGCCTCGAAGAGGTTCTGCGAAAATAATAATTGTCGATGCATGTATTCTATATATTATCCGTATTCGACCCTTACGCTCTCTAGGCTGCTTCCCGCTTGCTGTGTCACGAAGGGAATTGGAGCAATATGCCCCAGAGTGAGCAACGAATGTGGATCAGATTCGAGGGGTAGGCACGCCTGACTCTATCGACATCGGATCCCCCCGGGAACTCACCTCAGCAGTGAACTCGCTCTGATTGACCTCTGGAACATTGTAGGAGACATAGGGTTTCAGTTTGAAGCCTTCAAGATCAGGTACCACAAGTTCTGGGATCATTTCCGGTATGATTTCGGAGCTCCCCTCCATTGTTGGCATCCGAGCACCGACGTATTCCTCGGGGCCGGGGTTCATTTTATCGTGTATAGAACCTCGGTTCGACATCTGGAATTTCCGGAAGTTCCTCTTGCCCAGGCGAGCACAGGATGTTGAAATGGTTCGCACGAAAGTCAGTGAATTCATTATCACAGCTCCGTGCAGCGGATAGTGCGCGGGGGATATCTCTGCGTGGAGTCCAATGGAGAAGAAACAAAACACGCGCGACCCAAGAGAAACCAGAACACACACCGTATATCCCAGACGCTGATGATGATGATCTCTGCCTGGGGGAATTCGAGCGGTCTTGGACTTCCTGCTTTTTCCGGAAGATTTCAGCTGTTATCTTGCACGACGTTCGCGGTTTTTGAGCATGCCAGCTGAACCTACAGCGCGATCTTGAGTTCCTAGGTCGTGTCATACCGGGCCCGGAATATTACGACGCGGTCGTTGTTGGGGAGACCCAAGGCTCAGCTTCAGCTGTTCTGCTCCCCCCGAGCTCTGAGTGTGTCTAAAATCGGTGGTGTCTGTCCCCGTACTCCGCCCTGAGCTATAGTCTCGGTTGGAGGATGACAGCGAGACCTGGGAGCACAATGTACATCGCCAGCCGGTTTCTGTCATCCGGAGGACACGACACAAAGTCTGTGTCCACACACGACACAATAACATGTTGCGCTCCGCCGACGACGGCTTCTTAACTCGTACCTTCACGTTTGCTCCCGCACAAAATCTCTTCGCGAGCCTGAAGAAATGATGCCAGATCGCAATGGCTCTCGGCGATCCTCATCGGTGACCTGTCCTTTTTTGTGGTGTTCCTAGGGCCTGGCTAAGGAAAAACCCAATCCTGAGAACATTTCCCCGTGGCGATGAAATCGAACAAGAAATTCGAATGCAGAGAGCCGCGATGTCTTGTCGACGGCGAACCGCGTGTATTCACAAGAGCAGCTCTTTTCCGACAGGTAGGGCTCCGACTCGCTGGAGTGTGCCCAACGGAAGTCAGGGAATGAATTATGTCGGTGCCGGATTTTCTCAATTTATTCCCTCGGAGGAGTGACCTACTCGCCGACAAAATCGACTACCTAATGGTCCATGATCTGCCCCTCAAGGGACCTGGCCCCCGTGACTACATTTCCGAAGAATGAAGTGGGTGTTCGATACTGACCGGCCTCATTTCCTTTCAGCATGAGCTGAAGGTGCACGCGGAGAAAAAATTGAGGTGCGCGCATTGTCCTAAAACTTTCTCCGTGCACTATCTCCTCAAACATCACGAGAACCACTGTAACCAGACGGTGAAATGTCCACACTGTGATGCGACGTTCCGACATCGGAGCTCCTGCCGACGGCACCAAAAAACGGCGAAGCATGGCGTCCCGAGTCCACCGAGGTAAATTGAGGCTAGGCTTGTCTATCATCGATTTGAATCAGAAAGATTCGGCCAGACGCCATAAAATCCTGCCGGGTCACGGTGCAATAAGAATTAGCAACCCCTGGATATTGAGATTTCTCGATATTGACCCCACAGAGCGCCAAATGAAGGAAGTCGGCTCACTTTCAATATCATGCCGCTCCAGCTGGTGCCCGTACTCCTGGTGGCCAAAAATTCCGAATCGTCTCCTACAACGCGGCCTCATCCGGAACTCGAATCGAAGAAAAAGCAGACCTTCAGACCTATCCGTCCAAAGAGCTCTGCTACCACACCGGCTTTTTCGAGTACCCCCAAAGAATCTACTGCGGTGCAGACGTCGACGGAATGCGAGCCGATCCCGGGTCCTTCGATTGCCACCCAGACCGTAACGAATCATTGCACCGTCGCAGTCGGCATCGATGAGGTCTTCGAAGACTTGGAGAAATTGTTCGCCCAAGCCGAGACCCAAACGCATAGTCAGATGTCTGAGCAAAACTTCCAGCACGCGGAAACGCAGACGAATCAGCCGAGCCTCGCAGATTCAGATATGCAGACTATCTACGACAAACTGAGCGATCTCTCCCCAATCCCATCTGAGCCCTTGCCACATGTCGGCCAGGTAGAAGATCGGGCATTGAGCGCGGTCGAGGTCCAAACTAGCTTCGAGCGTCAGATGCAACATTTCGGGATGCAAACCGTTTTCCCGAATGATTCGAAGATTGCGGGAACTCAAACCCCGGGCATTCCCTCCTTTGACGGTCAATGCCAGACAGGAATGGAATTGTCCTCGGTCGAAACGCAGACCATCGAACAATTTCTCAACGAGCTGGAGAACACGAATTGAAGGAGCGGAAATAGCCCCTGATTCGGTGCATAGACAATTGAGCGCAAATCAATTTGAGCGCACGATCGATTTGAGCCCCAGTGCGATTTAAGCGCGAAGCCAATCAGAGCGGATAAGAGCGCAGCCCGAATTGAGCGCAGCCCGAATCGAGCGCGACCAGATTGAGCGCTCAACCGATCCGAGCGCAAGTCGATTTCAGCGCGACCAAATTGAGCGCGGATCCGATTCGCGCGAGAAGGAGTTTCCTACCCACCATCGACGCTCCATGTACCGGCAGGCACCTAAAATTGGCAGTTGTCCGTTCGAATTGCCTCTGCCCGAAATTATACCGCTCGCGTTGGAGGAAAAATTCAACGAACTTCATCATGCCTCTGCAGTTTCTCACTTCAACCCGAGGAAAACCCTGTAATCCACGACGGTGACCTGTTCAGGCAAGACCGAAAGATGTTTAAAAAAGAGATGCGCGACTCGAGCTCACTCAGATGAAAGGACATGGAGTCACAGTCAGTATTGTGCATACGACTCGATGCTCGCAAAGAGATTCTATGCTCGTTCATTCCCAGCGGAGAATTAATCATAGGTCCTCCCGCATCAGGTGTCTCCGGAACACGAGCATGCTCCGGAGACGGTGTCCATAGCAGTTCGTGAGTCGTGAGACCTTGAACGAGCTCCTGGAGACAGCAAGGAGTTCTTCGAGCGACACCAGAACGTCGAATATCGTAGACACTCTGGTGGGCCCACTCACATCGAAAGCTGTGCGACCGGACAGACGATCCACGTGAGACTACCGGACGGGAATGTGGTTCCCATGCGGAATCTCTGAACGGATACGATCCTCAAGCCATACACACAGACTTTGATTCAGCTATGATAAAACAGTTGGAGGCCGCCTTTCCCGCGGCCGGAATCGTAGGCTGTTCATTCCATTTCCATCAGGCTTTGTGGCGACACATTCGAACTGATGCCCAACTTCTCAAGGCTTACAAGAAGGACACGGACTTCACTCTCGACCTCCGAATGTTCACAGCACTCGCCTCCGTTTCCGTCGAGCACGTGAAAGAGCACTACGAAGCTCTCCTTGGGAGTGAATTCGTACAAAATAAGTTGATGCTTCTCAACGGATTCATTGACTACTTGGAATTCACTTGGATCGGAAGACCGCGCCATCCGCCTGTATTCAAGATTGAGTGGTGGAATCCATACCAAGTGGCGAAGGACATCTTATATAGGGAGAGTTGCCGCTCCGCGGCTGAATCGCATCTGCGCCAATGAAGACGCCACCGGATAATTACCGAGAGCATCTGACACTCATCAGATCGCTCAATACGCGTCCCCTAAGCCCATACCCGTCGCTAAATCTTGAGGTGCAAGGGCCGTTGTTTCCAACGGCCGCCCGCCCGCTGTAAGAAGCCTCCGAAGCCGTTATTCGTCGATGAAGAAGTAAACAACGGGGGCCTCTGCTCTCTGCTTCAGGTAGCGACCAAAAATTTCTTTAGAGGGGGCTAAGACCCCTTGGCCCTCCCCATATGAACGCTTCTGTCCTAAAGTCACCTCTATCCACTTCATCCAAATACGCATGTTTTTTGTTTTCCAGCGTCAACGCTGAAAGGAGTCTTCGGTACCTGGAATTGCTCTCAGTCAGCTGCGGTCCTGGCTCCGCTTTCTGATCATGACAGCCCTGGGGTCGTGGATGCGAATATTTCATCCTGACCTGCCTTCCATCAAAGAGACTGCTCGGATTGCTGTGGATACTGAGATAAACAGTGAGAACAGAATGAGCTTACTGGGGGTGGTTGTTCTCAGCGAATACGCGATATATTAAGTATTCATCGTCCCAGGTTCTTTTCAATCTGACCAATTCGCTCTGGCAGTGGAAGTTGCCTGTTTCCTAGCACCAGAGGATTCTCGCGAGAAGAACCGCTGTGAGTCTCTCTCCATCATATGTTTCAAGTCCCTCCATACGAGAAACATTGGCGAGGCTATGGAACAATGATATCGTTACAAATATCTTCGTCGAACGCAAGTTTGCTCAGCCTCGAGCTTCGCTCTCACTCCGTTCAGCTTCTTTCAGTTCCTGGACCGAGATACTACTTCTCGGGTACGATGTCCAGCGCTTCAGAGCGTCAAGCTCTCCTTGAGACAGAAATCGAGCTTCTCGGTGAGTTTCCGCGCTCAATATTCAAGATCTTTCGGAAACTCCTGATTGATATTCGCGCTTCATTTATTCCGCGGATTGTAAGACACTCGGAGCACCTTTCATGCCCTCTCATTTCTATCTGACTCGAGCTGCTTCGTGACACTTTTGCATGCATTTTCAGAGTTCTCCGTTGAACCTGGCTACGGAATACAATTCTACTGGCATACAGTTGGAGGGAAGCAGTACGAATTAATGTTGAGAGGTAAGAGTTTTAGGTGGTCCGGGATTTCTCTTTTTCCTTCCATTCATCTGGTCGGTATTCTGTGTCGAGGCCAACGGTCCATAGAGGCCCTTCATATCACCATCCCGTAATCCGCATGGTGGATTGAGCTCACGGGATGATAGATGAACATTTGAAGTTCCGATTCTGTGCTCAGCCGCCTTTGAAGCCGGTATTGAGTCTGACTTGTTTCAGAGATATGCATTCACTTTGGAAAATTGACTTTATTGAGATTACTGAAAACCTTCCTCCATTCTACAGAGATCGAAAGGAGAAACCTCGGCATGCCCCCACCGAAGTGGACCAAGAGCTGTGCCGGAGTCGGAACAGAATGCCGAGAAGAAGTGGACCGTAGACTCCGATGCCTCGAGTGAAGATTCGATAACTGGAGCCAAGTGTCGCGGAAAACTGTGTATAGCAGTGCAGGGATACAGGAAGGAAGATCCCCAATGATCATGAGCTCGGCGCTATGAATGGAGGTACTCCAGGCTCTAGGAAATTCCCGCAGACGGGGCGAACTCTTCGTAAGCCCTAAGAGATGTATTTTGATAAATCATCAAAGGTATTTTAATAAACTCTCTGCACTACCGGTGTGAAGGCGGTGTCCATGTAACTGGGCAGGAAAGCGATGTCCCGCCAATATTGTGACAAAGCTCGAGGCAAAACCGCAACTACTAATTGTGGATCCTACACTTGAAAAGCGTCACCAGTCTGTCGGCGAGAACCCGAATCCTTGACTTGTAGCAAGCCCCTAATGTGGAACGACCCCGACTCCCATAATAATTATTGTCTCATGAAACTTAGTCTGTACTATAATAAAATCGTCGTCGTTCCAGACGTGACGTGTCTCATTCCTTCCATTCCTCCCGCCAGAGCTAGATCTCCCTGTTTTCAGGATTCTTCAAGTCAGCTCCACCGAAGACTCGATCATGGAGGGCTCCCTCAAATTAATTTCTCAGGATAGCTCATGGCTCCTAGACGGTGGATCGCATTGCGGTGAAACATGTTCCGCATCAAAATGAGCATCGAGAGTGTTCGAGCGTGGGATCGACGTGATGAAGAACTTCGAATTCCAGGAAATAATGACCAGCCTCAGTTCGCTGGACGTCGGCGTCGTGTTTCGTACGAACCCGTCGATCTTCGATCGGAATTCTATGGAGAGATATAGGAGTACTTATTTCTACTGCCAAGCTATTATCTACGCTTGAATTCGGAAGGCTGTTGAATTCAGTCGAAATTGGATAATAAAGGGTGCCTATTGATTCTTTCAGGAATATTGTCTGCAGTCTCTGCAGGAATTCTATAGAGAGATACAGGAGTATCTCTACGGCCCCACCCTTACCTTCAGATTCAGATCCCATAGATTCATCATGGAATATGGCCTGCAGAGTCAAGAGACAGGGGAGATTTCATGCCTCGCTTGAAGGAATCTTGACGGACTCCCTTGCGGGAGTTCCGCTATCCGCTCGGCCAGCTCCTTTCAATCGATATCAATCAAGCTGGGAAGTAACAGGACGGACAAATGAGATACAGTGACCGCTCGACTTCGTAACCCACCGCCTCAGTGAACATCCCGGTTTGGCGAACACGATTGAACAGAATTCGATATCCTCCTGCAGACACCGTTTATCGACCCTAGAGCAGCGGTTCTTGACTAACCCGTGTTCTGCGGAACCCTAAGGATCCGTGGAAAGTTTCCCGGGTTCCGTGCACATTTTCTCGCGGAACCCGGGAGTTCCGCTGAGCTTATTCCTGCCTCCTGCAGAATCTCTGAAGTAGCCGACTAAACGTGCGTACAAAGGCAGGGTAACTTAGATTCTATACATTTTTGGGAGGAAGCTATCCGCGGAACGGCAGAATCTGTATGCGGAGACCGTGACATGCGTTTGCAGCTGTCTGACAGAATTCCGGATTTGCAGAACTTTCGAAGCAGATTCAGTATCAGCCTTCCCATTGGAACACGGCAGCAGTCTCATGCCGCTCCTTCAGTCCTGCGCTCTCCAGCTCCATTTCGTGCTCCTCTTAACTCATGACATAATTTTCCTAAATAAAGCATTAAATTGCAATGATCTCAAAATATTTGCATTTCTGATGCTCCATCGAAAGCAGCATGCGAGGAACGTAAAGTCCGCTGTTCCTGCGTTTTCCTGGAACCTGAAGTATCTCTTCAATTTTTTTTTGCCTGAGGGTTCCGCGGGCCCGATGAGCCTCCGATGGGGTTGCGCGAGACGAGAAAGGTTAAGCACCCCTGCCGTAGAGAGTGTAGGCCGATATCGGTGAGCGGGAGCGGGCATCAGATGCGTATTCGACTATGAGCCCGACCGGGATTCCTTCCCGATTGAATTGGCACCCGTCCGCCGAGAATTGCCGCTAAAGCCCATTGGACTTCCGCAAGTATCCTCTTAGCTAACTTAGTTCCGCGGAAGGTTCTCTATAACATTTCTGCTCACCTTTCGGAGCAGCACTACTCTCCATGCTTCACTATGTTCACAATCATCCCGGGAACCGCGCCTCATTACTGCTGAGTGGAAGCCGCTTGGGGACCTCTGTCGGCGTTTTTTCGGAAGCTGCTCATGTCTGACT